CCTACACGGTGCAACTTACAGAACAAATCAATATTCATAAAAATAAATACTGTAAACCCTATATGTAAATAAAACATATCGATAGTGACATAAATAGTATTCATAGCAGTTAAGCAATTGGTTTTAATTTGTGAACTCTATGGGCCATGAGTGGAAAAAATACAAGAAAACAGCAACTGAAAGGAAAAATCCTGAAGTAATCAACTTTTTGGTCAAAACTCGAACAGAAATCCTTTTAATTTAAATTTCTCAAAATGTCTTCGGACTGCAGGAGCTCTTTGACTCTGTGAACTCTGAGAGCGTTGATTCAGACGGTGTGGTGAGGAAAGAGTTCACTGGTCTGTCTACGTACCAACATGATCCTGAGGTTTGGATCGTGAGGAAAAGACTGAGATCCTGGATACAAGCGGCCAAAATGAGCTTCTTTCGTATGGTGGCCGGGCTCGGGCTTAGAGATGAGGTGAGGAGCTCCAGCATCTGGTTCTTAGAGTAGAGCTGCTGCTCTTCTGCATCAGAAGAATCCAGTTGAGATGGTTTGGCCATCTGATTATGATGCCATCCAAGCACCTACCCTGGGAAGAGACCTCAAATCAGACCCAAAACTTGCTGGAGGGATGGTGTGTCTTCTATGGCTTGGGAACACCTTTGTTCCCCAAGAGGAGCTGAGGGGTTGAATGGGTTTCTCTCATGGACCTGTTGCCTGCACGACCCAACCACAGATAAGCTGTAGAAGATGGAGATGTGGCTGCATTTTGTAGATTTGTCTATAAATCTGCATTTTCTGCCATGTAAATCAAAAGATGTTATTCAAGTTTCCCATTTCAATGTAAATCTATTTATCACCATGTTGCTACATTTGTCACAGAATATTTGTCAGCTATGTCAATATGGCTGTGTGATGGTGTTGTGTTTTTATGGCAGGTGTCAGTAAAAATCCTGACACTAAACCAGGCTGCCCTGCAACACAAAATGTGCCCAGGTTTTGTTAAAAGAGTTATAATCAAGTATGCTCACATGTCTGTAGTAAATGATAAACTGTAGATCGTTAATGTGTTAACGATCGTAGATCGTGTTAGTGAAATGGAAACTTGGTGTGAGCCTGCCGTGTGCAAATCAGCTCATCAGAGGACGGGGATCTGTGTGACCTTCTCTTCTTTCACGGCTTCTGTCCACACTTCGGTGACGATTAAAAGATCGCTGACTGCCGTGACTCTGGATACGATGATCTTGGTAATCCTGCGTGCCTCAGGTCAGCATGATAATCTTCCAGTCTCAGATGCTCCTTTTGAGCCAAAAAAATTGGCTCATGTAAGTGTTTCAATTTTTTCATTTTTTTTGTGTGACATGTCATTGATCAAGTTTACTTGGAAATAAACTAGAATCATCCTCGTGTGTACTTTTTAAATTTAGCATGGACTTAAATTTAGTTCCATTTTCTATTTTATTGTTTAAATCAATTTAAATTGTGTCCACAGTCTAAGTCTGAGCTTGTCAACTGGTGGCCGGTTGGCAATGTTGGGCCATGATGATCATTTATTTTGACCAGTGAAGAATTATTTATTTAATAAAAGAAACCTATCTAACGCAAAAATTACACTGAACAAAACTATAAACGCAGCACTTTTGTTTTTGCTTCCATGTTTGATGAGCAGAACTTAAAGAGATAATACTTTTTCCATGTACACAAAAGGCCTTTATCTCTCAAATATGGTTCACAAATTTGTGTAAATCTGTTAGTGAACACTTCTTTGTCAAGATAATCCATCTACCTCGCAGGTGTTGCACATCAAGACCCTGGTGTCGTAGGCTGACCACAATAAAAGGCTACTCTAAAATGTGTAATTTTACTCTATTGGGTGTACTGGGGAAATCATAAAACCACAGTATTTGATGTGACACCATTTGCCTCACACAGCACAGCACATCTCCTTCAAATAGAGTAGATCAGGCAATTGATTGTGGCCTGTGGAATGTTGGTCCACTCCTCTTCAGTGACTGTGTGAAGTTGCTGGATATTGTCAGGAACTGGAACACTGTCGTATATGCTGAGCATCCCAAACATGCTCAGTGGATGTCGTGTCCAGTGAGTTTGTTGGCCATGCAAGAACTGGGATGTTTTCAGCTTCCAGAAATTGTGTACAGATCCTTGCAACATGGGGCCGTGCATTATCATGAGTCGTGCATGAATGGCGCAACATTGGGCTTCAGGATCTCATTACAAGATAAGATAAAACTTTATTATGGTATCTCTGCATTCAAAATGCCTTCAGTAACATGCACCTGTGTTTGTTGTCCACAACATACCATAACCTCACCGCCACCTTGGCTCACTCGATTCACAACGCTAACGTCAGCAAACCGCTCACTCACACAACGCTATACTGCCATCTACCCTGTGCAGTGAAAACCAGGATTCATCCGTGAAGGGAACGCCTCCTCAATGTGCCAAACGCCATTGAATGTGAACATTTGTCCACTCAGATCAGTTAAGATGACAATCAATAAAGTTCTATTTTATCTTATCTTATCTTAAACTGCAGTCAGGTGGAGACTCCGATGAGGAGGACGACGATGCAGATGAGCTTCTCGGAGATGATTTCTGAAAGTTTTAACAGAAATTCTTTAGTTATGCAAACTGATCGTTGCAGCAGCTGTCCAGGTCGCTGGTCTCAGATGATGATGGAGGTGAAGATGCTGGATGTGGAAGTCCTGGGCTGCTGTGGTTACACGTGGTATGCGGCTGTGAGACCAGTTGGATGTACTGCTAAATTTTCTGAAACACCTTTGGAGGCACCTTTGGTAGATAAATGAACATTCAATTTAGCTCTGGTTGATATTCCTGCAGTCAGCCTGCCAATTGCTGTGATAAAACTGCTTATTTTAGAGTGGCCTTTTATTGTGGTCAGCCTAATGCACACCTGTGCAATAATCATGCTGTCTAATCAGCATCTTGATGTGTCACACCTGTGATGCAAACTGATAATCTCAGCAAAGGAGAAATGCTCATTAACACATATTTACACAAATCTGTGCGCAATAATTGAGAGGTAAAGTTTTGTTGTGTACATAGAAAAAGTCTTAGACCTTTGAGTTCAGCTCATGAAAAATGGGAGCAAAAACAAAAGTGTTACATTTATATTTTTGTTCAGTATATTTTGACAGTGTGTAGTCAGGCTCTACTCAAAAATAAGCCTACAGTAGCAAGAAAACCTGCTCAGGAGCACATCAGGGACCTTTGCTTGTTTATCTTATCTGGATGGGAGAAATGCTGAATACCACTGAAGACCCTTGTTCAAGTGCAGCATCTGACATACTATTTTTTCTTAAAAGTCTTGACTTGCTGCAATTGTTCAGTTTTCTGTCATGTTGTGCAGTCGGTACAGCTTTTATCTGCTGAAATAATCACTCCATGTTTGTGCCTGATGTAGAAAAAGTCAAACAAACATGATGCTTTCGAGTGCTTCTCCCTCAGGCATGAATATTATTCCAGCTAAAACTCATGTTGCCCATTGGGTGAATGTGACGTTATTTTCCTTTAGCTCTTTCAATTTTCTTTATTTTAGCATTGGTTTTGCTAATTATAATGTTAACAATTTGTCTTTGCTCATACTTTTAATTTTTGGTAATTTCACCTTTAGCATCGGTTTGCTAATTTTAACTTGACCAGTTTGCTGCTTTTAACTAATTTTTTGCTAGTTTTGGCTACTATTGTTTTGCTAATTTCAACACTTGTTTTACCAATTTATTCCGTAGCAGATTATTTGCTCATTTTAGTTTGGCTGAGTGGTTAGAGCAGTCATCTTCCAATGCAAGAGTTGGGGGTTTGAATCCACCAGCAGTCGCATGTTGAAGTGTCCCTGGGAAAGACATTGAACCCCTCATTGCTTCTGATGCATAGGCGTCGCAACCATTATATGTGAAGGGGACAAGTCCCCCCACATTCCAAAAACGTTCATTTGGAAAAAAAAAAACCCACACACACACACACACACACACACGTTTACTATGAAACATTAGTTCTGGTGGCACAGTTTCTCTTTCTTCATGAACAAATCCATTCCACTTGATTAATAGGAGAATACTCAAACCACTAAAACTCCACTCCAGGTTTTCCTGGTTACCTCCAACTCTAAACACAGCAGCCTGTTGCCACCGTCACAATATACAGTGGTCACAGAATATGGTGTAACACCTGAAGTGCTTCTGTGTGTCTCCTCCTGCCTCGGCAGAAAACGTGCACAGGTGGAGGAGATGGAGACACCTCTGTGTTACTCGCTCGCCAGTTTAGCAACTTAGTGCGGGCAGTTGTTGACCAAGGGGGGTGGTTGATCATAAACATATATTCATGTTAGGACGATGCTTGAGAGGAGCTACGTTTGTAGCATCTTATCTTAGCAGTAACTGTGACGCTGTAAGACGCTGCAGTTGTAAGAGACTCTGTGTTCAGGTGCATTAAAGTTGAAATGTCTTTAAAACCCCACACCTTACTGTCCTCAAGCTTGGTGAGAAACATCATTTAGATAAGCAGTGTTGAACACAAGTAAAAAAAAGTCTAGTGGTGACGTTTTTAATTTCTCTATAAACACAAATAGTGCTGATCTGACGCTCTGTATTAAAGTGTATTAAAGTTAAAATGTCTTTAAAACCCACAGCTGAATTTACGCAAACTTGGTGAGAAACATGATTTAAATGTGTGGAATTAAAGAAAATTTATGTGAAATGTTGCTTTTTTGTTCACTAGTGAACACTTTTTTTACGCACGCATACACACTTGCACTGATTAGTCTCTTTAGAATGATTAGTTCAGTTAGTATTGTATAGATTTAGTGGAGTGCTGCATGAATGGGTAAATAAAGGCATAGATTGTGTAAAGTGCTTTGAGTATCTTGATAAGATAGAAAGGCGCTATATAAAGTCCATTTACCATTTAAACAAGATAGAATACTTTACAACAGGATGTCTTAATTTGCACCTTTTTGTGTTCATGTCTTTTTTCTTAGTGCCGATGGGGTGTACGAGGTGTCCTTCTACTCCAACGCTGTGGTGTCCTACGATGGCAGCATTTTCTGGTTGCCACCTGCCATCTATAAATCCGCCTGTAAGATTGAGGTGAAACACTTCCCGTTCGACCAACAGAACTGCACACTGCGCTTCCGCTCATGGACCTACGACCGCACGGAAATTGACCTGGTGCTCCGCGCTGACGTGGCCAGCATGGACGACTTCACACCCAGCGGGGAGTGGGATATCATCGCCCTGCCAGGCAGACGAAATGAGAACCCTGCCGATCCCACCTATGTGGACATCACATATGACTTCATCATCCGCAGGAAGCCTCTGTTCTACACCATTAACCTCATCATTCCCTGTGTGCTCATCACTTCGTTGGCCATCCTGGTCTTCTACCTACCGTCCGACTGCGGGGAAAAGATGACGCTCTGCATCTCGGTCCTGCTCGCTCTCACTGTGTTCCTGCTGCTGATCTCCAAAATCGTCCCGCCGACTTCTCTGGATGTCCCCCTGGTGGGGAAGTACCTTATGTTCACCATGGTCCTGGTCACTTTCTCCATTGTCACCAGCGTGTGTGTGCTCAATGTGCACCACCGCTCACCCACCACACACACCATGCCCCCCTGGGTGAAACTGGTGTTCCTCAACAAGTTACCTGCCCTGCTCTTCATGCGCCAGCCGAGGAACAGCAGCGAGCGCCAGAGGTTGCGCCAAAGGAGGAGGGCACAGGAGCAGAAGGAGGGCGGGCGCAGTGGGGAGCCGGGGGGCCTGATGGTGGGTCTGGGGCTTGGTAGCACTGGTGGGAATGGTGGGGGAACCTCCACAGCGGTGTTTGGAAAAGACGACAGTGAGCCGTGTACGTGCTACGTGAACCGGGCCTCTGTTAAACAGTTTGGAGGTGATCTGGCAGGTACCGGAGGGGGATCGATGGACGGTCTGAACAGGGTGAGGGAGGGCCGGGAAGGCGGCTCTGGGAACCTGCAGAGAGGGAAGCAGGCAGCCGGAGGTCCTGCCCTGACTCAGGCCCTGCTGGCTCAGGCCTGTCCAGGCTTTGATGAGGCTGTTGAAGGAGTGCGCTTCATCGCCAACCACATGAAGGGTGAAGATGACGATCAGAGCGTAAGTTATCCATCAGCCTTGGACATACCTACTAATTCCACTGTTTTTAGCTTCATCAGTGGTAATGATAAAAAAAGTTTAGATATTATCTTAAAGAACTACTTGCACATATTGGCCTTAAAATGTTCTTATTTCACTATTCTGTATTCATTTTTATCATTATTTCACTATTCACTATAAAAGTTGTTGTTTGTGACACATGACAACTCCTAATGACTTAAACAATTATACATGTTTATTAAAGTTTTCACTTAACGACGTCACCATTATTTTACTGGCGCAGTGCATTCTGGGGCAGTGACGTACATCTGTTTCAGTGGAGACCAAAACACAAGGAGTCAATGCTGAAAAGTTATAACATGTGACAATAAAGTTACATTTTGTATTAGTCCTTATGCACAATATATGTGTGGAAAAAAAATCAAATGTAATCAATTTGGGATGTTTGATATATTGTTTAATAGAACTTTATTTCCTGCATGATCAGTAAAGTTTTATTTTATCTAATCTTGTCTAATCTTAATTTATTTTTTAATCTATTAGCTCCAGAGCTGATATCGTATTAGCTCTGGAGCTAATGTACAAAGTATAAGCTCTGGAACAACTTCATAAATATTTAGCTTGGGAGCTAGCTTCACATCTATTAGCTCTAGAGCTAACGTCACATTAGCTTCAGAGGTAATGCCATATATTAACTCTGAAGCTAATGTTATTAGCTAAGTGGTTAAGGCCACATATATTAGCTCTGGAGCTAACATCATATATTAGCTCTGGAGCTAACATCATAAAGTAAAGTAAAGTGCTATGTGTTGTGATCATTGTATGTTGTATGTTCTATACAATGGCAAATTAGTTTAACCCATCACACCTGAGATACACCCAGGTGGAGCAGTGGGCAGCTATGTAAGCATCTGGGGAGCAATTGGGGATTGGGTGTCTTGCTCAGAGACACGACAACATGTGGGATTGGCTGGGGATCGAATCTGGGACTTTCAGGTCCTGAGTCTGCTGCCCTACCTCTACCCCATCTCGGCCTCTACCCCATTAGCCCCATATATAATAGCTCTGGAGCTAATGCAAAGCTGTATCATTTCTGCATTTTCCTCTCTCTCAACGTGCTTTGGTTCAAATTAAAGGGCTGAACATCAGATAATGTCTAAAATTAACATTCAATCTGAAGCACTCTCCACTGATGCTATTTTTAAAACACTTGTCATGTGACTACAGTTGCTCAATACCCATACTGTACAAACACACCCTTATACTTTAGAATGGAGCACACTATTTAGCCTAGTTTAAGCTAGAAGACATTTGATAAAATGACATTGAATTACACAACGAGGACCACAAAACATGGTACATACAGTAGCTACCTGTAGCTACAGTGACTCAAGGTACAGCCATCTTCCTCACATGAAAGAAGTATCTTTCGTCACTTTTCCCAAGCCGAAGATGCAGCCAGAGAAGTCTGATAGCTGGATTAGAGCAATGGGAGCCTCTGCATTTGGCCGAGAAAGCGTCAAGCATACACACATTTTAGATAGCTTATCTATAGTACCATCTAATGTTCCTGAAATGATGCAAAAACAGTTGCTTGAGAGATAAAAGCACAAAAAACTAGATGAGCATACACACAAACACACACTACAAGCAAGAAGACAAAGTCCCCAACTTATTCCACCCACTTTCCAGTCTGTTGAAGACCTCGGCACTCCAGCCAACATTTTAACTGAGTGTACTGCAGTCAGACGTGTCCAACCTCCATTGAACTTGAGGGACAGTGGATTATCTATGCAAATAAGTGTGATGTCATGAGTGGAGATCCCCATAGAGCTTGCACCAGAGAAACCTCATTTACCCAGAATGCATTGCAATGTGAATAAAATTGTGACGTCTGCGTTATTCATTTTTACAAAATATAAAAACTAAACAGCTTACAGTATTTTTACAATATTGTTTTTATAGTTGAAATAACTGTTTATCAAATAAGGTTTATTGTTCCGAGTCGGAGATCCTTAAAAATAAAAAAAAAGCAAGTCTTACAGAAATGATTGCAAAAGTGCTACTTTGTATGTTAACTTACTTTATATATA